TAACAATATCAAGTGCTGGTACAGGCTCAGAGCAATTGGAACTCCCATACATTGCAGGTGAGAGTGAAAAATGGAGCAGCCTCTGTGGAAAATGATAGGTCAGTTTCTCCAAAGGTTGAATGTATTCTAACCATATAACCCAACAATCCCACTCAAGGCTATCTACCCAAGATAAATGAAAACCTATGTTAACATAACAACCTGTATGTGAGCATTTACAGAAACTCTATTTGTAATTGTTTCAAATTGGAAAACAGCCTAAATATCCTTGAGTGGATGAATGGATAAATGAACTGCTGAACTTCTGTACCATGGAATACTGCTCAGCAACAAGAAGAAACAACACACTGTTCCTTGCTGAGAGAAAGAAGCCCGTCTCAAATGGTTTTATATGGTATGATTCCAGTTCTATAAAATTCTTAAACAAAACTACAAGGATGGAGGACAAATCGGTGACTGCTAGATTATTAGGGGAGCGAGGTGAGGTAATAACAACAATGGGGTAGCCTGAGGAAGTTTTTTGGGGTAATGGAATGTTCTTGTATCTTCATTGTAGTTACCACAATGACTATTACATGAATCTGTACTTACTTGTATTTAAGATTATAGACTCTTATACCAAAAGAAATAGGTCAATTTTATAGTATGATAATTTTTATAATCCATTTTTCTGCTTATTAATAAGGTTGAAAACATTTTCAAATGCTTATTTGTACAATAAAATTTTAAAGATTGAAACTAAAAAAGAAAGCAAAGCCAAAAAACAAAGAAGCAAAATATTTCCCATTGTTTGAAATATCTATCAGACAGAGCACATTAGCATAAACCAAGTCAATGCTAAATGCGAAGAAGGAATGGAAAAACAGATTCTTAGACTCATAGATTAATCCAGGGTTAGCAAATATGTTTGTTTATAGCAAATCATATTTCCAAAAATGGTTGCAACAATTATGTGTCAGCCTACATGCTCTTCTGGAACCTTGCTACTCCTCCATTAAGAGATCTATGTCCCCATCACTTGAATTTGTGACTGCGTAGGCCAAGAGAGTATGGCGGAAACCACGGTTATATCTTCCTGAGGTTCAGTCATAAAAATGCAATGTATTTTCTCCTTGCTCCCTTAGAACACTTACTCTTGGAACCCTGACACTGTAGTGTGAGGAATTCCGAGTAGTCCATGGAAAGGCTTACGTGAAGAGGAACGGAGGTCTCTGTCACAGCCCTGGTTCTCTTCCAACCAATAGCCAGCACCCACTACAGCCATACGTGGAAGCCGTCTTGAAAGTGGAGTCAAAGTGACTGACACAGCCCAGAGCAGAGAAGAGGTGTCAGCGAGGCCTGCCTACGTTAGCTATTCATTAGCAAAATAAATGGTTGCAGTTGTTCTAACCCATTACTTTTTGGGGTGGCTTGTACATAGCAATACACAGCTAATAAAATACAATGTTTTTACTCGCCAATACCAACAGGTCAGAGTGCCTTCCTGGTGTGTCTCATTCAGAATTCTTGGGATGGAATGAGACATGACTGATTAGTGAAGTGATGAATTGGGCATAGTATTAAGTGATGACACCAGCGCTATTTGCAAATCCTGCTGGAATCCAGCACTCTCATTTTATAAATTGAATAATGCAAAATGCAGATGGGTTGTGGTCTGCTCAAGATCACACAGATATTTAGTACCAGAGCCAAAGCTCTAAATCAGGTCTGCTGATGTGCAGTTTAGTATTCTTTTCACTTTGCCTGTTCCTTCCCAATAACAGATTCCAGAGGCCTGAACCATGTACCCAGAACAGCAAATATATACCCAGGGGTGCTCTCACTTCCCCCTCCCATGCCTGTGACAGACATCATTAATTAAGTACTTTGCTCTCCTAAGGCCACTGATGTGCATGCAGATGACAGACACAAGTAGCCATCAGAGAACCTGAGTAGAAAGATGCAAAAGCTAGAACTAATTTGTATCAGGAGTGGCTGAAGAATTACAGCAAAGGTGACTCAATACAGGAGCTGAAAAAAGATATCAAAATGCACGGTGTGTGAGCAAAAAGAAAGGCTTTAGACATGACTATTCGTCATCAGGGATGTCTGAAATGACATGTAAACTTGCTTCTTGCAGTCTACTAAGGAATCTCTTTTCACATCCTTGAGGAACTCTGCCATGGATCCAACTAGATAATTTCCATTTAGTATTTTTAAACTTACCTTGTTGAGAGAAGAGTGCCTGTTACTTTTGGCTCTATAAAGTACATTGCATGCGTATAATTTGGCGTGATCCTGAATATAATAGAACCAAATGCATATGACACGGATGACAGGGCAATATTGGAATATTGTACACTTTAACGGTTCTATTCTTCATAATGTGCTTGGCATTGTCTGAGAGAAAGTAGCCTCAGAAAAAAACAGATGATTTCTAGGGTTTATTTAAAGGCAGAGATTACAAACCTAGGGTACTCTGGATTTTAGGGTAGCTCACTGAGAACAGGGTTCAGAATCGTCCAATATAAGACCGAGAGCAGAGCTGCTCTGAACTTGAGCATAGGAGAGCAAAACACCCTCCAGAAGCAACTGCAGCTCCACTTCTAGAGACACAAGGATCACTCTTCACCTTTTTTTGATTCTGTGTAGGGCATAGAGGGTGGGGTTAGGTATGAACACTATTTGAGTAGAACAAATAGCAGAGTGCCCTCATGCATTCATTTGTTCACTGAGTACCTAGGGCATGCAAAGTATTCTGTCAATACAACAAGGAATACAAGGATGAAACAGACAGGGTTTTGTCTTAGAGGGTCTAGCAGATATTCCAATCTCTTGGAACAGAGTAAGATTTGAGAACATGAGCTTAATGAGTTAGTAATCTAAGTATCAGCCAGAGGTACCCAAACACAAGAACATTGGGTTTAGTCATTAGGAGCAGGATACATCACTGAAATTGTCTATACAGATCCGTCCCTCCCTCACTGGGTCTCTCTTTCTCTTTTTCCTGCATGGATTACATAATCATTTGCAAAATTACTAATTGCTGGATCACTTAGATGCATTACTATGCTTTTAGGAAATTATTCCTGATAATGAAATTCTTTCATCAGCTCCACTTTCAGATTTGCAGTATAGGCTTTTCCTTTGATAAGTAAGTGCTCTTTTCAGAAAAGTATGCAGCACATGTGGCAAAACAGAAATATCATGTTCTTGGAAGTGGACTAGTTTAGGTAATAATTAAACTTTCTCTTTTTGTTCTTGGGCTTTATTCTAGTTATTTCTCTGTTTACATCAAATTTTCAGGAAGGTTGAAATGTAATTCATTATGTGTAATTATTCTCACATCTTCAAACAAAAGTCAGTAAAACTCTTATTATATCTTTTCAGGTTTTTGACTTTAGAAACTGTTAATTTTTATTTCCCCTTGTCTTTTGGAATAGAATATCTCAGAAATTTCCACTGGGTCTTCCTAAACAGCTGCAACTTGTTTTTCATCTAATAATCTTAGCTACCACTCGAAGTCCTATAATATTGGCCATGAGCCAGTGCACAAGAACAAGGCAGAAAAGATTCTAAAGAAAGTGGGCTTTGGAGTCAATCCAATCTGGGTTCCATGTAGGCTCTGCCACTCCTGTGTGACTCTAAGTAAATTATATAATCTCACTGGGCCTCAGTTTCCTGATCTGTAAAATGGGAATACAACACACATTGTAAGGTCATTATGAGAATTAAGTATGAGATAAGAAAGCAGAGAGCCTGGTTAGTAATAGGCATTCCTTAAGTAACGATTTCCTTTTGCTTCTTCCTGAAAATGATCATGATTAAGCACAGGTTTTAATCATTAAAACATAGAAACAGTTAGAGATACAGACCCTATAGGCCCCAGTCAACTTTTCTGACACTTTGTTGTGTAGAAGACTTGGCATTTCTCCTTTTCTTTTTAAGGGAAAGAAGCACTCCACATTAGGGAAAAAGAAATTTTGGATGGAACAATCCTACAGTTTCAATCATTTTAGCACCAGGATTGTTTCCTTTTCTGTCATGGTTGGGTTTTTATACAAAAAGGCCACATTCTCTCCACAGTTGCAGTGGGGTTGTGCATTATCTCTGTTATTATATGAAGAGATTTATTCCAGGTGATAGTAGGAAGCTGCTAAAGAAGAAGAAAGGGAAGGCTGCGGAGGTGTTAGAGTTCTCTTAGGATATTGTCAAACCTTCCTCCAGCACAGAAATTCCACAAAGAACTCCTCTGCAGCTTTCCTTACCCAGAGCTGTTTCTTTAAATTGCTTGACGTCAGAGAAGGAATGCTATAGCAACCGTCTGTCAAACTGGAATTAACTTAGAAGAAAGATGGGGGTGGGGAGAGGAAAAGTGCTCCAGGGCGGCGGTACTGACTTCAGAGGAAGCAAATTGGGTAGATGCATTCATTTTGTGACATTTTAAACATAAAACATCCATAGAAATGTGATGTGAAGAAAAAAAAAATCGGTCGAGATGCATGTGATGTTTAACTCATGCAGTGACTTGACGGTTATCTGGAAGGCCTGGTCTCATTAGTGACAATAGTAACAGTAACTTCCAAGTATTGATTATTTATTGAGAGACAGGCTCTGTGCAAATGGTATCTCATTTAATATCTTTAGCACCTTTATGAGGCAGTATCCCTCACTGTGCCTGTTGAGCCGATGCGGAACCTGACGTGCTCAGACGGTACACAGTCACACAACTGGCGGAGGTAGAGCTGGGACTGCAGTACAATTTTGACTGACTCTGGGCCTCCGTTTACTTTTTGCGATTAGAATTCCGGAATGTTACACCTAGACAGGTCCTTGGGATCTTCTAAGCAACCCCCCTGTCATGCCCACGAGCAAACTGAGGCCTGTGCAGTGCCAGGAAGGAAACTGGCTGCACTACTTGGAGGCTACTCAGACGTGTGCTCCAGCGTTCAGGCGCCACACCGACAAGAAAACGAAACTGCCCGGGAATTAATGTTTTTCTTCTCCTTCTAGCAGGAAACGAGAGAGAAAATAGGAAGCAGAAGCTCCGCGCGGCGCCGCCAGCCTTCGCCCCAAGCCCCCGCCCGGGCCGCGCGCGATCCAGGGTCTGCGCGCGCCCCACGGCGCGTCCCCGTCGGGCCCGCGCGCCTCGTGCCTCGCGCCTCGAGCCTCGCGCCACGTCCCCGCCCCAGGCCGGCGCGGCCCTGGGTGTGGCCGGCGGTCTGGCTGCGCTGGTCTCGGCGGGGAGCTGCACTTCGCACACGGGCTGCGCGCGAGCGGCCGCTGAGCGCCCCGCGGACCCAGGCTGCGCCCGGTCGGTACGGGCCGGAGCTCCCTCCAGGTAGGCGGCGATCGCGGAGCTGCGGCTCGTCGGTGCGCCGGGCGGGAGGATCCCCGGCTTCCCGCAGGGGGCGTGAGGCGCCCTGGAGCTGCCCCGGGGGAACACGGCCCGCGTGGCGGCGCGGGGCCAGCTGGGGCTCCCCGGACTTGGGGAGGGGGCGCTGCGGTCGGCGGATCCTGCGGGGGACGGACGGGGTGGGCGCGCTTTGGTCGCGCTTGCTCCCGCGCGGGGACCAGCTTCTCCGCAGCCCCCTCGGGAACTTCCGGGGTCGCGCGGGCCGCTCGCTCTGGGAAGCGACGGGGCGGTGCGCTGTCCTGGGCTCCGGACCCCCAAGTTTCCCTCCTCGTCCCGAGGCCTCGCCTGGGGCTCAGAGCGCGAGCTCCTGTGGGCCCCGAAAATAGTGGTTATGCGAAACTGCCCAGAAGGGTTATTGGGTGGAGAGCTCTGGGAAAGCTCATAAAAGTTTTCCACTGAGTGCTTAAAATGAGTCCGGTGGTTTCGTGCTAAATTTGTTGTGGAGGTGGTATGATGTGTCCTGCATTATGCGGGTGGGGGTGGGGAGGAGATTGATGGAGTTTGAATACTTGTAAATTCTGTACATGATACAATGTTTTCCATTCTCTGCACATTCTTTTTCTGCTTCAAACACAAATGATTGTCTAGTACTTTGATATTTATTGCTGTTTGGTAAGGGAAGATCGACTTTCCAAAAGTCTAAAACCAGACTTTGATTTGTTTATAGAAGCAATGATTTGTTACTTTGCATCTTTCTCTTCCCTTTTTCCCCCACTCCTTCCCTTTCTCTTTTAGTGAAGGATGTGGGTGCATCTTTATCTCTGCGCCACCGGCAAAATTGCTCGTGTGCATTAGCACCCTATTGGGAAGTTCTCAAGACGTTCGGAATTTAATTGTTGATCAGAACACTTTATTATCCGTCCTTAGCGTTGCAAATTGAAACGTGACCTTTAAAACATCTTCTAGAATAGAGGTAGAGCACACACTGCTTATTTAAGATGAAAGGGAAGTCTTTTCTACTCGGCCCGAAAAACAATGGTCTGTATATGTAAAATCGTATGCTTTGAGTCTTTCTGTGCTATTGCACGTTTTTAAGACTCTTAAGTGTGGGGTTTTGGGGTTATTGCTGGTTCCACGTTCTGAAAGCTTATAGTGTATTTAAGATTTTCCATGTTGCATTTTGGTTTGTAGGTGAATTTGAAACTCAAATAGAAACTTTTAGAATATCGGTTTTTGAATGCCCTTAACATGTGTATACACATAACATTTTTAAATTGATTACTATGGCTAGTGATACGTATAGATTCATATCTTTGTGAGCCCTATGTGTTATGTAGGAGGTTATTTTGAGTCATTGGTCTTTGTTAACCTGTAAGTTGCTTCATTATTATTTTTTCTAGCTTTATTGAGCCATAATTGACATACAACATTGTATAAATTTAAGGTGTACAACGTGATGACTTGATATACTTGTATGTTGCAAAATGATTATCATAGTAAGGTTGGTAAATACATCCATCAATCACTTAATTACATTTGTGTGGGTGTGAGTGTGTGGTAAAGACATTTAATATGTACTCTCAGCAGCTTTCAAGTATACAATATTGTTAACCGTAACACCATGCTATACACTAGATCCCCAGAACTTAGTCATTTTATAACTAGAAGTTTTACCATCTGACCAGAATCGCCCCGGAATTGTTTCTTTTAAATCAAGGGTGCTTTAGTATGTCACATATTTTTACACTTTAAAAATAGACACTGGGACATTTTGAAAATTGAGAATTGGAACCAAGGGTTGGACATTTTTCTGCTGTTACCAAATACTGCTTGGTGTGATTTCTCAGATTTCTTTCAGGCGTGTTATTGAAGTACACTGACCGTGTCAGTAGTTTCTTTACTTTGCTGACTAATTTAAACTGCATTTATTATAGGAACTATTTATTTAACATCTGTTCTGAGCCAGGGTGATGCTATACATTATTTTACTTATATCTCACATCAACTTGGCAAAGGAGCCGTTATCCAGTTCTACAGGTAAGGAAACGGTGCCTCTAAGATATTAAGTAATTGTCAGTGGTCACATAACTGTTAAGTAACTCAGCTGGAATTTAAGACCAGACTGCCCTGCCTCTGAAGTCTGTGTGATTTTCCCCGTGCCAGGTTGGGTTAGTGCCAGGGTATGAGGAATGACCCTAATTATCATTAGCATATTTGTAAATTTTCCAAGACATGCCAGAGATGTGGGCTTGTTTTTCCAGCCTGATTGTTACAATCTGTAGGTGTTAAACAGATCCTCACATCAGCCATGTTCCTCTCACCTCTCTATTCCTGGCAAAATGTCTATCTCAAAAGTTCAAAACCTCCCTCTTATTAAGGCAGAATTTCTTCTGTTGACATTAATAAGTAGTGATAACTTAATTATCCTTTCAAAATAATAACACCAGTTTAATGTGGGTACTCCAGAGCCTTAGTTATAACTCATTTGGAAGTTCACAAACAGGATGATAATCTATTTTGGAATATGGGAGCCCTTTGATATCCCTCAAATTAAACCAGAGGATGTTTTGATAGTTCTTCCCCTGCAATTTTCCTGTCTCTGGTACACCTTCAATTTCGATTTCTCCAGAATCATTTATATTATTATATGTTTGTTATATCTCCCATCTTAAAATAATTTCTTAATCCAGTATTCTGCCCCATTTCTCTGCTCCACATTGAGAAAGCATACTTTTTTGATAGAACAAAAATAAATTCAGGAGAGATAACTACAAACTAGTTACCTACATGGGTTGGGTAGGAACTGAATAAAAAGGATGGTGGAGGGAATGGCACTGCTCAGATTTTAACTTTTTATATAGTTTTGAGTTTTAGAAACTTGTTAATAGTTTATGTGTTCAAAAATAAGATAAACAATGTTGGAGAAAAAAAAACTCAAAATTGAATACAAACAGCAAAAAATGAACCAACTGTATTTCAGTGAACAACATAAACTCTCAGAAGGAAAAAAAAATGAATCCAAATAAGTTTTTAACACAGGACTATGACTATCCACCTTTAATCTGAAGATAAGAAGAACTGTACTCCCCCACCCAAAAAAATCTTGAACTCTATGTGGTAGGCTATTTTTTATGGTGGTAGGGGTATAGCAATTCTGGATCTATGTTGTGTGTATTGTAGGACTGAGCAAATAAGTTCACTGATATTTTGGAGCTAGGGTTTCATTTTTTTTTAATTAAGGTATTTTTGATATACACTCTTATGAAGGTTTCACATGAAAAGACAATGTGGTTACTACATTTACCCACATTATCAAGTCCCCACCCGTACCCCAGTGCAATCACTGTCCGTCAGTGTAGTAAGATGCCACAGATTCACTATGTGCCTTCTCTATGCTACACTGTCTTCCCCATGACCCTCCACACCATGTGTACTAAACATAATACTCCTCAGTCCCCTTCTCCCTCCCCCTCCCCTTTAGTAACCACTAGTCCCTTCTTGGAGTCTGAGATTCCTGCTATTTTGTTCCTTCAGTTTTGCTTCGTTGTTATACTCCACAAATGAGGGAAATCATTTGGCACTTGTCTTTCTCTGCCTGGCTTATTTCACTGAGCATAATATCCTCCAGCTCCATCCATGTTGTTGGAAATGGTAGCATTTGTTTCTTTCTTATGGTTGAATAGTATTCCATTGTGTATATGTACCACATCTTCTTTATCCATTCATCTACTGATGGACACTTGGGTTGCTTCCGTATCTTGGCTATTGTAAATAGTGCTGTGATAAACCACAGGGGTGCATATGTCTTTTTGAATCTGAAAAGTTGTATTGCTTGGGTAAATTCCTAGAGTGGGATTCCCAGGTCAAATGACATTTCTATTGCTAGTTTTTTGAGGAACCTCCATATTGCTTTCCACAATGGTTGAACTAGCTTATATTCCCCGCAGCAGTGTAGGAGGGTTCCCCTTTCTCCACATCCTTGCCAGCATTTGTTATTCTTAGTCTTTTTGATGCTGGCCATCCTTACTGGTGTGAGGTGATATCTCATTGTGGTTTTAATTTGCATTTCCCTGATGATTAGTGATGTGGAGCATCTTTTCATGTGTCTGTTGGCCATCTGAATTTCTTCTTTGGAGAATTGTCTCTTCATATCCTTTGCCCATTTGTTAATTGGGTTATATGCTTTTTGGGTGTTGAGGCATGTGAGTTCTTTATATATTTTGGATGTTAACCCCTTGTCGGATATGTCATTTACAAATTTATTGATAGCTAAGGTTTCATGATGGGAAAAGAGAAATAAAAATAGAAAATGAAAGAAGGCAATGAAGAGCTCTCTGGTGTTGGATTGTAAATAGAATTGTCAATATGAACTTGTTAATAAAACATTTTTACATTCATACCTACATACATATATGTCCTTCCTCTGTCTATGAAAGGGTCTAGAAGCAATGACTCCCTCGTAGCTGTTGGTACAACTAGTGCCCAGATCTAAACCATGTTTCAGAGCTGGTGTAGGGAAAGTACAAGGTGAGCCTAGAACACAAAGTAAAGAAGTGTTTTAAAAAAGTGATGGGAGCACATCAAAAGGACATAGGAAAGAAAAAAGAAAAAATGAGAGATAAAAACAAAAAAAAAAGACCCGAATAAACAAAGAAAAAAGAAAAAAAAAATGACATAGTAACTAGCTTGGATGGCCAATGCTGGGAAAATCTGATTATCAAAATGAATAATGATAGTAATGGATTACAACCCTTTGAATAGAACAGGAACCCACAAGTCCATAATAAATAAATAAGGAAAAGGGAGAAAAGCTCTTCTAAATAGACTAATAAAAATGTGGAAGAAACAATAAAGTTAGAGAAGTCACCAGTTTACAACCATCAAGGTAATATTAATTCAGGCAAGTGTTAACTAATGGAGAAAGTTTGATGGGAAAAAGGATATTTATGCAGTTTCCAATGACCTGTCTAGAGATTGATGAACAA